CCCAGTGTTGCCAGGGAAAAGTCATTTAAAGTCCAACCCTCACTGATGTGGCCCCCAACTGAGATGCATTTTCCCTGGAGTGCCAGGGGAATGAGGTGAGTAGTCAACTAGATTAACTTTAGGCTTACGGGTAAATCATATAGTTGACTCCTCACTGACATTTCTAGCAGGGGGCCTGCTGCCGTGGGGAAAGCCTCGAGGCTGTGCACTGCTGTTCCCCAGTCAGGGGAGGGGGAGTGGCAGCGTGCAGAGTTATTTTTCTTTCCTTCAAGCTGGATACGACAGGGAAGCTCAAAGCTTTCTCCCCACAACCCAGCAGGAAGCAGATGCTGCTGCTCCAATCTCACAGGAGGAAAGAGAGGGGTGCAAGACTGGAGATCCAGCTCAGGATCCCTGTTGCAGAATGAGGGAGGCAGAGGAGGAGTTAAGCTCAAGCTGTGGCCCACCTACAAAGCATCTGCAGACCACTCATCCACAGACCCCAGTTTGAGAATTACTAGTCTAGAGAATATTGGTTTAGAAGTCTTCATATAACAAGGTATCTCTGTCCAGGAGTTCACTTCAGAAGTAACTACGTTGATTTTCCTGCATTTTCTCTCTCTTAGAAAGAGATAAAAGGGGCGAGAAAAAAAGTCTTATTACCCCATTTTACAGTTGGAACTCAAGCAAAGAGAGATTAAAGAGTTTGTTCAAAAATCACCAAGGCAGTGTGTGACAGAGCCATGAGTTGCATCCCCATATCTTGAGTCTTAGTTCAGGTTCTTAGTCACAAGATCATCCTTCCTCTCTTTTGTTTCTATTTTAAAAAGCAGTCCCATTACTGTAGGGAGAGCCTGATCTAGATAACATGGAAAAACCTTTCTATGTTTATCTTCTAAGTTTGAAAAGAGAGAGATCGTTGCTTACTAATTACAATGGATGTTTACAAAGTATCTTACATTAAATGATCCCCAAGTTTACTTAGAAGTCTAAGTAATAACCTGTTTCTTTTCTGTAATATAATAGCAAAATATTAGCCTCCCTTTATCTTAATGAAGGCAGGTGGGGGCAAAAAGACAATGGGGGAGATGGCAAGAAAGGACTAATAGGGTTCATGAATTTTACCTCAGTTCCCCAGGTAACACCAGCTCCCACCAGTCCCAGACTGTTGCACCTCTACCTCCCCTATTCCCCTCCCACCACACCATAGAGACAGTTCTGGGAGGAATTGGCTTTGAAGTCAGTTCCCCCCAGCATTGGCTCCTGCTTTCCCCCCTTTGCTACCTCAAATAGTGACTCAACTAGTCGCTTACATCCCTACAAGGGACCCAATCTTGCGGACATCAGTTATAAAGTGATAACTATTGCAAAACAGTGTAACATATCCATTTTCAGTGGGACACTGATACTACATTATATTTTAACTGTTTTTAATTATACTGTAGGTTTTTAACATTTTCACTACTTCCCATACTGCCGTGTCATTGCTAGGTCTTTTGGGTATTACACAGCAAGTTTATATACCCTTCAAAAAAGTGTGACCCTTCTCTTCAGAGCATTCAATGGTTTTTCTGGAATATTACTACAGGTTGGACCTTCCTTGTCTGTCACGCTTGGGACCTGACATGTTCCTAATGAGGAAATTTGCCAGATCAGGGGAGCTCCCTTGCCACTGGCCTCCCAGGATGCTCCCCCTCCCTGTGGCTGGCTCTGCTCTGGCCCCACTGCCACTGGGCTCCAGCCTGCAGGACTTAGGCTCCGGTGTGTTGGGGTTCCCCAGGGACAGAGCTCCTCAGCTACTGTGGCCCCACTTTTCCCACACACACAATTGGGAATTCCTGGGGATGGGGCTTGCTTGCTAACTGCCCCACTTCTGCTGCTAGCTGTCCTGCTGTTACCCCACCTGGCCTGAGGTCCCCAGGGACAGGGCTAACCAGTCCCAGTGGCCAGGGCTCCCAGCCAGTTCACATGCCCAGGTGCTAGGGCACTCTGATCCAACAACATCCACGGTCCTGCTGGACCATGGATATTGCCAGACCAAAAAGTCCCAGATTTCGAAGGTTCAACCTGCATTTTCAACTTTTCTACTCAACATCTGAACAATGGTTGAATAAAGTGGTAACACATTTGTGTGTGCATGTATTCTTGGATTTACACAAGGCACAAGGCCCAGATTTTCACCATTAAAATGAGGCAGTAGTTAGCTATGTGCAAAAGCAGGGTTATACTCACTCTTCTTATGAAGAGGGCATGGAATAAGGTTAAAGCTAGCTTCCATTCAACTCTGAGGTAATGTTTTTAAAAACTAGGAAAAACAGCTGAAGTTGGATGGAAGTCTAAGGATAAAAAAAGACTTTGTGGAACACACTGGCTGTGTCTAGACCGGCAAGTTTTTCTGCAAAATCATCTGCTTTAGCGGAAAAACTTGTCAGCTGTCTACATTGGCCGTTTGAATTTCCGCAAGAACACTGAAGATCTCATGTAAGATCATCAGCGTTCTTGCGGAAATACTGTACTGCTCCCGTTTGGACAAAAGCCCTCTTGCACAAATCATTTGTGCAAGAGGGCCAGTGTAAACAGCACAGTACTGTTTTCCGCAAAAAAGCCCCAATCGCGAAAATGGCGATTGGGGCTTTTTTGCGGAAAACAGTACTGTGCTGTTTACACTGGCCCTCTTGCACAAATGATTTGTGCAAGAGGGCTTTTGTCCAAACAGGAGCAGCACAGTATTTCCGCAAGAACACTGATGATCTTACATGAGATCAGTGTTCTTGTGGAAATTCAAACGGCCAGTTTGTTGTCTCCCTGACTATTGCTTAAAGATCACAAGTAAAACTATTAACTACAACTCAGGCTACAATTATGTCACAAAGGTCACAGAAATCATGAAATCTGTGACTTCAACAGGTCTCCATGACATTTTCTGCCTCCAGGTTGGAGCTTCCAGCCAGCCCCCCTCCATTCCTCCCAGCTCCTGCACTGGTGTTGGCACCCTGTCCAGGAGGGGGCAATAAGAGGCTGCAGCCTTACTGAAAATCGAGGAGACAGGCAGGCACAAGCCTCCCCATGTCTAAAGGTCCCTTCCACAGCCTTGTGGGAAGAGCTAATGGACCCAGGACTCACCTAAAGATCGCATTGGGCGTGGGACAGCTAAGAAATACCAGCTGCAGCAGGGCTGTCCAGCTACTCAGACAAAGAGTGATTCCACACAACTGCCCAGACATAGCAGGAGGTGGGAGACCCCCATAAGCTCACAGACATTGGGGGCAAGGGCTCCCCAGAGCTCCTACCAACCCAGCAATGGGTGACCCTAGAGCCCCAGCAGTAGTGGACGCTAAACCTGCCTCCCCATTTTGTCAGAGACATTTTTAGTGAAAGTCAGGGATAGGTTATGGGCTTCTGTGAATTTTGTTTATTTCCCATGACATGTCCATTAAAATACTCTGACAAAAACTTAGCCTTAAGTACCACCAAAGCAAATTCTCCTTCCATTTGACAGATAAACCTACTGCTTTTAAATGCTGAAGTCTTCAGATTAATTTCTAAAATAACTAGATTTCTCAAAAATCAGGATATTACTTTAGTTG